AAATAAATCAAAATGTTGTGAAAGAAGATAATAGATACAGACAACAGAGAATGGAAACCCAAAATAAGCTGTACTCCTAAAAAAGAGAACAAAATAAATGGAGCAAAACAATAAATCAATATATGAAAATTTTGTGGAGCTGAAAGCATACCTTGTATGCAGGTGGCAAGTGCCGGTTCTACTCCAATGAAAGAAGACATCTATGCCTAAATAAATATTAAGAAAAGTACTAACTTAGATAAAGAAACATCTTACAAATGTCTAGATACAAATGACAAAAAAGAAAACAACCAAATAATGCATGAACAAAAATAAGGCTGATGATAGTTTTCTCCTATTGTAACCCTGAAAATCAGAAGACAATGGAGCAGTGTCTGCTGAGCATTCAGAGCCTTTCACAAATGAATAAGAGAGAAAGATATCTTCAGGTATTCACATTGCAAAATTTACTGAAACATATCCAAAATGATTAAGGTATGAGTAAAAATGGATAGTTGAAGCATGGGAAAACCATGGTTAAACGGCTAACCATTTTAGGTCTGGAAATAAAGAAGTCACGTCTAAATAGTTGTATTTTTTGTTATCTCAAATGTAAATTGAGAGGATATTTTAAAAGAGATGTAATAGAAAATAGCAATTTAGTAACATTTACTCTGCAGTAAAACCCAAGACTGATTACACGAAATAACATTTATTGGATTACATGGAAGAAACACTATTAGGGATAAAGAATAGTAAATGCAAACTCCATTAATTCAGCTTAACACAATTTAACCCACCTCTCAGATTTTGATAACGCAGGAAGGAAAAGAAAAACAGGGATACAGGGGATCTAAATGATTCAAAAAGCAAAGTATATTTAATACATTTCTAATAAGCTTTGTGCCTCTTGAGACTTTGTTGTCTTTTCTAATATCTCTGAATCTTTAGAAATTGATGAAAGAAATGAAAACAACAAAAAACTTCCCAAATAACAATCCTACAGTCTGCATTCTCTTACCACAATACAATTGAGGACTTTTAAATAAATATTTAGTAAAAGAAGAAACTTGAAAATTAGCAATAACAGTAGCAGCAGCAGTACAGTCCTAGTTTGTTAGGGCTTTTGGCTTATTTTTTATTCCCTCAGGGGAAGCACAAAAAGCGGTTTCTTAAGCTTCTCTACAAGGTTTCCATTTTGGGACCAAAAATGATGTAGTTCCAAATTCACTCCTCCTCATAACACAGCATTTTCAGCATTCTCCAAACACACTTCAAAAAACACCCAAATAAAAAGAATTTGGAGGGAAGGAGTAGGGATTGGAGACACATTATCAGAGAGGAGGAAAAATCAACATGCTACCTTTATCTTTGTTCTAGATATTATCTTCCTTTTTTTTTTTTCCTGGTATTTTATGGTCTTCAGGGTCTGCCTGTTCTTAGTCTGCTTGGGCTGTCATAACAAAATACTGTAGACTGGGTGGCTTAAACAACAGAAATTAATTTTCTTATAGTTCTGGAGGCCAGGAAGGTTAAGATTAAGGTGCCAGCCAATTGAGTTTCTGCTGAGGACCCTCTTTCTGTGGCCATCTTCTCATCATGTTCTCATATGTCCTTTCCCAGGGTGACAGTGGAGAAAGAAAGATTTCTCTCATCTAAGGTCACCAGTTCTATCAGATTAGGACCCATTTTCAAGACCTAATTTAATCTTAATTATTTTCTAAAAGCCTATCATCAAAAACAGTTGCATTGGAGGTTAGGATTTCGACATATGAATTTTATGGAGACACAATTCAGTCATTGTAAGCAAATATCAAAATTGCCTAATTTCTTAGAATGCTGGTTCAGACCAACTGCATCCAGATTCCATAAAATGAAGGCCGTTCTGTGAGAGCTGAGTGAAAACCACGATGATTCTCTTCAAAGAGAAACCAGAAGCAAGGGAAAGGTAGGCCTAGTCAGTTCTGCAGGGTCGTGGAATGACCATACTAACCCATTTCACTTTTATAGTGTTATCAACAGAAAGTAGGACAGAGCAGCCATTTATTTATTAAATTATGCTTTTAATTGTTTAAAACAGTATAAAAACATTAGGGAACAAGCCCTAAAATCTAAACTGGGTAAAAGGCTCCAAGAACCATTATGATGGTCAATCTTTTAACAATCGGATGAAGTAGTTTCGTATTATTCATGACTCAAAGATGGTCATTCTTGATAGAAAATAAATTTACCTTTAAAATCATTCAACGAAGTTATGAATAATTTAATGATATTGGAGTGATATTTACATGGGAATTTTTCCACTCAGATGAGTATGATATACTCTAAGCATTTATTTCATTTTTAAAATGAAGTTTGAAGAAAAGGTAGAGTTAGGGATGGAAATGATACTTTGGCTAGCTTCAAAGTTCCTGAAAAAATTGTCTAACTCTGAAGATTAGTTGGGCAAAATATTTTTGACTACTGAAACAATTGGGTACTCTTCCTTTTTTTTATATACATATAGTACTGAGAGCTAGGCTTTTTTTTTTTTTAGAAAGGAAAGAAGAAAAGAGAAAAAAAGGAGTGAAGGAGGGGAAGAAAGAGGAACAAAAAGAAGGAGAGAGAATGGGAATGTTGCTTTATTCTAAAAATGGATATTAATAATGGCTGATCAATATTTTGTATATTTAAAGTGGAGAATGCATATTTTGTGTATTTAAAATGGAGAGCTCTATAAATATTTATTAAGTTTACTTGTTCCAGATCTGAGTTCAAGTCCTGGTTGTCCTCATCAATTTTCTGTCTCGTTGAGTCTAAATCTCTTTATGGGTCTTATGTATCTGGGTGTTAGGATCGTTAGCTCTTATTGTTGCATTGATCCTTTTACCACTATATCTTTGTTACTTTGAAATCTATTTTACCAGATGTGAGAATTGCAACTCCTGCTTTTTATTTATTTATTTATTTTTGCTTTCCATTTGGTTGGTAAGTCTTTCTCCATCCCTTTGTTTTGAGTCTTTGTGTATCTTTGGATGTGAAATGGGTCTGGATGCAGCATACCGTTAGGTTTTGGCTATATATTTTGATTGGGGGATTTAGTCGACTTAAATTTAGGGTTACTGCCATTTGGTGTTAAGAGTACCAATTGGGTACTCTTAAATTTTAATGTTACAGAAAACTTTCAGTGGCTGAGAAGACTAAAAGTTGCTATCTGAGGGGCAGATAAGATTGATTTAATAAGATTTATGAATGATTTAATGTCTAAATACCTTTAAAAAGTAAATAGTAATACACGATCTAAAAAGTTAAAGTTTAAAAGAAACACACAGAATTCTTACTAAACTCTTACTAAGAATTCTTAAAGTTTGTCCTTGCTAGTTTGATAAATAGTAGGAAATAGTACTAATCATAATAGTTACAAGTTTCATTAGTTATAGCTAAAGGCCAGAGTGACTATTAAGCCAATCATTATAAATCTACTTGTGAAAGAGAAGAAAAAGAAAGACGATAATCAGTGAACAAACTAAACAACAAACAAAAAATTCAGTTGGTTTGAAATTACTGAAAATCTCAGAGGATCTCATTATCATTTGACATAAATTATCACTCACAAACTGATTAACAAAGAACTGCTAAAATGAGCATTTGTCTTCATTTGCAAATGAAATTAGGATTTAGTGAAAGGATACTATAAAAACTCAGGATTGGAGAAGTAAGGAAAGTTTTCGAATACAAAAGCAGTGTTTTTTAATCATTTGTATTTTATCATGTAAGTGTGTCTATGTGTGTGTATGAGATAATTGCATAGATTATTTGGTGGTTAAAGAGCTTTGGTGTTTAATTACATTAGTTTGAGGAGTTGAAGTATGTTGTAAAGGTAGGTTGCTTAGGAATTGCTCCGGATTTTCATGAAGTGATAATTAGCACCCAGGATTCCAATTTCTTCATTAAAAATGAGGGGTTTAGACCTAGATAATTTTCAAGATCTTTTAGGGACCACAGAGTCTATGGTTACTCAGCTACTCATTGTTCTTCCTATTCCTTAACAGAGCCCTTGTCTCTATTTTCCTTACAAACTTAATGAGAAAGCATTAAAAGTGCTGTTTGGGGGTTCTAGGCGTATGTCTCAACCATGCATGAAAGCAACGATACTCCCAGGACATTTGTCTGTCAGAGCACAGCAAGGTCAGAATTGTCTACTAAGTCCTTCAAGGCCTGCTGTGTCTGGTATGGTACTAGTCTGGCTCTTACCATCTCTATCTAATAATAAGTCTTTGATTTTTGTTTTTGAAGCCACAATGCATAACTCTTTTTTTTTAAACCCTGAAAGACAAGACTTTTCCTTACACTAAAACGTGTTTTACATTTTATTGTGTTGGCATTGGTCCAAATTAAATAATCTGGTAAAGTCATTAAAGGAATTTAAGACTTTAAGTTCTGTCCTTCATTGTTCCTTTTCTCTGAGTAAACTTTACCACCTAAAAGAGATTGTTTTTAAAAGAGTTTATTTGGGTTCAAAAACTGTTGATTGTTATATAGCCTTGTTGCTTAACTGCACATCTTGTCAAATGTTCTACTTTTTCCTGTCTATCCCAACTTCTTCCTTCCTCTTGAATCTTGAATGAATGGTGATTAGTCAGTCATTCGCCATTTTCCTGGTCCAATATAGCTTCTCACAAACAAACTTAGAGGCATGATAAGGATATTTTTTCTTTAAACCATTGTTACTTTTCTTTTGTATGCTAGCAGAAACATAGGGCTAGAATTACATGGAAAATAATCATTCCAGTTCTAATGCAGATAACTTCTTGTCCATAGACCTGTGAGTGAATTGTGGATGAGAAATAAGAGTTATTCTCTTCAAACTTACAAATTACAATGTAACATTTCTACAATACTCTGTATATGAATATGTCTAATTTATGTCTTCCAGGTTGTGACAGTATAGTCAATCATAAACTACTGTCACTGGATAGATGGGAGGGTGTGGAATCAGTTTCATTTGATCCTAATTATATTCTCACTTTTTTTCTCTGCAGCTATGTGGTATCGTAATCCTGGCATTAGCAATATGGGTACGAGTAAGCAATGATGCTCAAGAGGTAAATGTGCAAAAACAAGTCACCCTTTTCCCAATGTAGTTTATTTCTTTTATAATAATGAAAGTTATGACAATAATAGTAATAAACTTGTCTAAAGTGTTTTTCTTGACTGCTTTATGTAATCACTTCTGCTGTTACGTGATTTTATAATTCAGTTCAATCAATCAAAATTACTATGTGGCTGGCACTGTGCTAGGTGTGGAAAAACCCTTCTAGAGAATGGAGGTGTTATTCAAAAAATTCCGTGAAATACATGTGGGAAGGGGCCAAAGTGGAAATTTTCCTCCTTTACTATTTGTTTAAGGCCAGCCGAGGTACAGCTTGAGGATACAGGCTACCTCTCCTTCTCACCAAGAACAATTTTTATAATAGAATGTATTGGCAATAATTTAGTTGTTTCCAAGGTGTTTGGTCCAAAAGGAAAGAAGATGAGACGTTCTTTTGGGGAAGAAGAATTTGAATCTGTGTTTTAAAGGCAACAAAGTACAAAGATAGTTATTATTTATCTGTGGCAACTGACAGTGAAGGTAACCGCTTGCCACTAGTGGCTGATTGCGCTGGTGTAGCTCTGTAATTAGCTGGGGATGTCCAGATTCTTGCTATCTGTATAAGATTAACATGACCCATTTTCCTCCCACACACACCATTCCATGTCCCATGGCAAAGCTCTTACCCAGATCTACAGGTCTGGAAGAAGTGTATTCCATATGGTTAATTCCGGCCTCACCTGTTGGACTCCACATGTGTGGCGTCTGTTCCATGCCACATTATCACAAATGTGGAAAGAATTGGGGGTAGGAGGAAGAGGGGAGTGTGCAGGGGTTATGCTGTCAGTTTTATGAAACATAATGCCACCCTGGCATTATTTCCTGGCTCCTGTCCTTTTATTTTTTTCTCTCCTCTCTTCTTTTCTGGGGCATCCCTCCCAGCAAATTCTTATTCTAACACATCCAGAGCCATTTATTTGTTCCTTGTTTTCTGGGCTCTTGCCACTGGTCAGGATCACCTCTTCTACTGCTAAAGCCTTATTTAACTTATTTGCCCACATGAAGAGAGTTTCTCCTCTCTGAGAAGAAATTTGATTCCAAGTTGATAATTACTGCGAGATTATTAAGCCAGCAATTAGGAAAATGCATTTTCTACTAAAACGTATTATGCCATGGTGAAGCTAAATACCTTTTAGCACAACCCAGTGGAAAGAAAGATGAAAAGGGAATTAACGTCTGCTGTTTTCTTGCTACAGTGGGTGGCTTTTCCGAAAATTTATTTCTCACATCTTTCTGGATTTTTTTTTTTCTCTCTCTCCTGTTCTTTTCCTTTTAAAATTTGCTTTCTGTCCTTAAAGAGCCCAGAGAACCACAGTGGCAGTTAGCAGCTTTCACATTCTGTGCCTCACCATGGTGAAGAAATTGGGTGGGAGACGGTGTGGCAGCTTTTTAGTAACATCCTAGACCATCAGGATTTCACTTACTGTTTTCTACTGATGACTGTGACTTCCTGACAGCCTGGAGTTCTGGTGTTTGAGACCAAGAAGAGCATTTGAAAATGTGCAGAATTTTCATCCTGTAGAATCCTAAGTCTGACTTTGGGGCTCATAATTAAGTGCAGAGATTAACAGTGACCTAATTACAGGGTGCTTTGGCATCTTCAAGGTGTGTGTGCAGCCTGCAATTTATTTTATTTTATTATTTTACTTCCTGTTGATATTTTCTTTCCCTCCCAGCGCTTCTGGTAAACAAATTTGCTGTTTAGTCTGTTTAAAAAAATTGCACATACTGAATGTATTAAAGGGGAACTATTGTTCCTGAGAGAGTGCTACTCCACATCTGGGGATATGAATGAATTAATAGAGCTAGACAGCATCTTTAGTTACATTTTGACTCATGCTTCATCAGCCTTTCACCCTGAACAAAAGCCAGTGTCTGCCAGGACAACATTAACCAGCTTGACTTATATATATAAAATTGGCTTGATTTGTATTTATCTTAAGACAGTGACAAAGAATCAAGACTGAGCAAAGAGCTGAATTTCTTATTAGTGAAAAAACAGAGGTAGCTGTTTTGGAAGGAAAAACATGAGCATAAACACACAAAAGGAGGATGTCAGGGAAATGACATCTTTTTGCTGAAGTATCTCAGTATCTTATAGGGACCCTTTTTTCTACCTCAGGATAAACTTAGCACCATGAGGAAAAGCACATGGGCAGCCATCCTTGTCCCAAGAGGTCCCTCTGATCCAGAGGATTCCTGAGTCCTCATCTTTCAGGCCCGGCTCAATTTCTCTGTCTTTTAAATTCTCCCATTGTCCTAAGACACACAGGGACACAGTGTTCATTTAAGACATCTTTTCAAACCCTCCTGTGTCTCCCCTGGTGCAAACATCTGAACTCAGATTTCCACTTCATTCTTGAATAAGAATAACCACTTGTTGGGCTGGCCTTGGAACAATGGCCACTAGAGAGTCAATACACTGCTTTCTGGCTAGTCTCTGGCAGTGGGTTACCTTGCCCAGCTTAGCATCATAGAAGTATCTCACTACCTGCTGCACGAGTGCTGATCACGCTCTCTTGGGCTCACCTGTAGATATCTGAGCTATTATTTGTCTGGGATATCTGTTCTAACTTCTGATAACCCAGCTAGCGAGTTTACATCCTCTTACAGGGTTTGCCTGCAGTGGTTGCAGTATTCTAATGAGGCAATATTTAGCAGTAAGTCCACAGTGCTGGTTTCCTAACACTGCTATTTGTGTCACATCTGTTTTGATTCCAATGTCATGGCTGTTTATTAACAAAACTGATTTTTCAGCTATGATATTAATAAGAAAACAGTAACAAACAAACAGAAGCCCAATGAAATGAAAATCTTTAGGACATAACTAAGCTTTCAAACTAGGTAAATTGAAACATTATCTCTAAGCATAGACTTTTACAGACAAAGGAGGCCTTAGCTATCACAGAGAGGTTGACTCAATCCCCTTTTATAAATGGGGAAGCTAGAGCCCAATAGATTGGGTGACTGTTCCAGGATTACAAACTTATTTATTAGGACCCTGACAGAATACAGATATTTGTTTTAATACTTTTATAACGTCAGCACACTCCTTCCTATTGATTGTTGAATAAAAGTTTCCTCTAGGCAATAAGAGGATTTAAAAAGCCTTGAAAAACGAAAATATTGTTAGAGCAGTAGCAATCATTTTTGTATTGACTATTAAGGGAGCTGATCTACATGTTATATAGCCCATTCTGGGAGGCAGAGGTTTTGAGTTAGTCTAGGTCTATCTAGAGACAGCCCAGTAGATAGAAGTGATAGAAGACAAATGGGCTACATATAGCGTTTATGCATAACACACGCACAAGGCTTTACTTTTTCATTGTGATTTACTTCTGGATAACTCCACTTAGGGAGGACAAGAGGTAGACTGAGGCTAGGTGTTATGAGGGTGATGAAGACAAGTATGTGTGTGTTGTTGGGAGAACTGAGTTATGCCTGATGGGTAGCCCTCCTGCTATAAAGGGCCCTAGGATTTTTTTTTTCCCCTTCGTATCTCATTAACAGTAAAAATAAAGAGTTTCTAGATGATTCTATGGACTATGACTTTGGGACAAAAGAGATAAAATTGATATGGAATATCAAGAACTTATTTTTTTAAATGAAGATACAAAGCATTTTTATTAGCCCATGGAAGTTCCCTCATGTCCCTTTTCAGTTAACTCTTGCTTTCCCTTCTGCCTTGCTCAAAGTCAAGCCCTGCTTTGATTTTTATAACCATACTTTTGCTTGTTCCTGAACTTTATATAAATGTAATCAGAAAGTATTTACTTTTTTCTATGGCTGTTTTAGCTCAGCGTAATCACTCTGAAATTCATTCATACTGTTGTGTCTATCAATAAGGAACTCGAACTTTTTAAAGAATTAAAAACCATAACAACACATGCTTTATAATGCTAATTTATATAGAATATGCAAAATATGTGAACCAAAGATCACATCAAGAGTAAAAGTAACTGTCCTAAGCTTTTTAAAATAGGGTTTTAAAAAACTTATTATATTTCTTCCACCCAGCTTTCAGCATATCATTTTAGAAAAATATAAGGTTGGAAACATTACTCAGGCAAGGAGCACTTCAGTGGAATGTGAGCTCCATGATGGTAAGGATTTGTACTTTTTAAGATCACTGATGTATTTCAGGGTCCTAGCACAGGAATTGACACATAGTAGGCACTCAATGGATATTTGTTGAATGAGCAAAATAAACTTCAAGGAAAGGAATTTTCTGCCATTAATCTCTTTTTTTAATTTTAGATTCTCAGCTCTGAAGATTTAGGCTCCAGCCCCTATGTTGCTGTAAACCTACTGATTGCTGTAGGTGCCGTCATCATGATTCTGGGCTTCCTGGGATGCTGTGGTGCTATAAGAGAAAGTCGCTGCATGCTTCTGTTGGTGAGTTCTCCAAACAAATCCCGGTGTCCAACCTTGAGACTCCAGAGGATTCTCTCCCATCCCTATTGTCTGTTAAAAGAACATGTCATGATTGATGAAACTCTAACTGTAACTTCTCCTTAGAAGGTTGGATTTTGGAAGCTAATATGGCTTACATTTGGTTTGGTTTGGCTTAGAAACTGGAGGATACTCTGAGAGGAGACAAATTTTAATGATTCATCCATTCATTCCTCACTCATTCAACAAGACTGCGTACCTCTGTGTGCCAGATATTGTGCTAAATGATACATAAGACCTTTAGAACCTACTAGGGAAGATTAATAAGTAAGCAAATAGCTACAGTGGGAGTGGCCCCAGAAGCAAAGGTCAAGACAGGGGATGGGACTTTCGAGCCAGGGCAGAAGTGAATAAGGTATTTGTATGAGTGAGGGTAGGAAGAGCTTTCTGGGAAGATGACCTGGCAGTATGGCTGGTGTGTTTGGGAACTGAGAAGCCTTGGGCATGGCAGGAGACCTGCAAAGACTGTTTCCAGTAAATGATGGAATATGAATCCCAGTGTGGGTTGTGGTAAGATCATAGGTTGTTCCATATGTCATGCTAAAAAAAGTTTAAAGGAATGAGATAATTAGAATTCTCTCTTAGAGTGCTTCAAGGAGGATAAATTGGGTTTGAATAATTCACAGGCATTCAGTTTTAACATATACAGTAGAAAATGGATATAGTAAAAATATTAGAAAAAAAATCAAGTGTTTATCAGATACAAATATGACACAGAAGTTTATCAGATCTAATCTAAACTTATTCCTCTAATAAAATAAGGATTATATCAGTACCTGAAAAAAATGTTTACAACTGTTTGTTTATTACAAGGGACGGTAAAAACAGTTTTAAAGAGACTCTAATAACATTCCTACTGATTGCTTTTGATCAATAAGGCCTCATTTGCAATTGGTGAATTTAATTATTCAAGGAGCTTGTTTAAAAAAATAATCGTCTGTGGGCTGCATCCTTCAAAATTATGATTCAGTGTATCTGAGGCTGATTTCAGGAATCTATATATGTAATAAGATGCCAGATGATTCCGATAGTGGTGAAAATGCTGTTTCAAAGCCAGATCTGAGTTTGTGTTAGTTTGTGTTTGATGAAGAAAGCAGGAAGAAAATAATATTCCAATAAATTCATCTAAGTTTTCAAACTTCCTTCTAGTCAATATCATACAGATACCAATAGTTGTTTTGGTAATTTTTTTGTCTGAACTGCTTTCCTCAATCAATCTCTGAAGGACAGGTTGCTGAATAGTAATGAACCAGAATTTCCAGCTTGAAGTAAAAAGTGGAATAAATGAAGACTGACTGATACTCTCACTGTGGTATGACCTGAACTGTGGAGAGAAGTGCTGTGCCAAAATGTCCCCAGGTGTTACTGAATGCACTGAGGATAATGTATATTTCTTTCCCTCTTCTTCAGTTTTTCATAGGTTTGCTTGTGATCCTGCTACTGCAGGTGGCGGCAGGTATCCTAGGAGCTGCTTTCAAACCTGAGGTGTGTGCACAGATGTTTGAAAATTTTGAAAAGTCTGAAAAATTGAAATACTACCACGTGTATGAATAATGTAAAGTACTTTTCAATTTTCAGTATGATCGCATCTTGAATGAAACTCTCTATGAAAACACAAAGCTTTTGAGTACCACAGATGAAAGTGGAAAACAATTCCAACAAGTCATAATTGACTTTCAAGAAGAGGTACTTAGAATTTGTTGTTTATTTTAGAGAATTGGACATAGTTCTTCTGTGTTTAATTTTTAACTCATATATTTTTTAAAGATTGAAAAAAGTCTCCATTTTGCAGATTTTGATTATTCTGTCACCATGCAATAAGAAAAATCTAAGAATATTTATAATTACTTTCTCACCTCATACAAAGTTCTGAAGCAGTTTTGAAAGACAGAAATTAAGAAGATAAGTTTATGACAGGTTAAGCCTCGATTGAGTTAAATCAATAATAGTTTTAATATTTTCCATTTAAAAGGGTAATGTGTCTGAGAATCACCTTTCTTTCTCTCTCTCTCCTTTTTTTTTTTGAGACAGAGTCTCACTCTGTTACCCAGGCTGAAGTGCAATGGTGCATTCTCTGCTCACTGTAACCTCTGCCTCCCAAGGTTAAAGGATAAAGGTTCAAGTGATTTATCCTTCCTTAGCTTCCTGAGTAGCTGAGACTACAGGCATGCGCCACCACACCTGGCTCATTTTTGTATTTTTAGTAGAGATGGGGTTTCACCATGTCAGGTTGGTCTCAAACTACTGACCTCAGGTGATCCACCCGTCTTAGCCTCCCAAAGTGCTGGGATTACAGGGGTGAGCCATGGCACACAACCTCTCTCTCTTCTTTTTAAAAAAGAAGTGGGCCAGGTGCAGTGGCTCACACCTATAATCTTAGCACTTTGGGAGGCCGAGGTGGACGGATAATTTGAGGTCAGGTGTTTGAAACCAGCCTGACAACCGTGGTGAAACCCCATCTCTACTCAAAATACAAAAATTAGCAGTGCGTGGTGGTGCATGCCTGTAATCCCAGCTACTTGGGAGGCTGTGGCAGGAGAATCACTTGATCTCGGGATGCAGAGGTTGCAATGAGCCAAGATTGCACTCAGGCCTGAGTGACAGAGCGAGACGCTGTAAAAAAAAATTATTAATTATTTTAAGGACAGGGTGTCACTCTGTCACTCAGGCTGGAGTGCAGTAATATAATCATAGCTCACTGCAGATCTCCAATTTCGACCACCAGGGGCTCAAGTGATCTTCCCACCTCAAGTGAGCTTCCTGAGTAGCTGGGACCACAGGCATACAACACCACACCTGGCTACCTTTTTAAAAGTTATTATTATTATTATTAATAATATCACTATATTGCCTAGACTGGTCTCAAACTCCTGATCTCAAATGATCCTCCTGCCTTGGCCTCCCAAAGTGCTGGGATTACAAGCATGAGCAACCATGTCCAGCCTCTATTTTTCTCATTCTAAGCCTTCACTGCTTCTCTGTCTCATAAAATAGTAATAGCTAACATTAATTGCTACTATGTACAGTTTTTATATCCCATAGCTCATTTCATACCCACAACAACCCTACGGGATGGGTAATATCATTATTTTCATTAACCCCATTTTACAGATAAGGAGATTGGGATTTAGGGAGGTCTGGCAGCTACCAAGTGATGGCCTTGGAATTTGAAAATTGAAACCCAGATCTGTCTGACCAGTCTATTATTTTTTAAAATCAGTACACTGTTCTCTCATTTTTTTCTTTTCTTTAAAGTCAAATTTTGGGTAGGCATTGGAGGTCTTTTGCCATCTGGCTCCTACCAAATCTTTTAACTGTACTAAGTACTGCTCCCTAAAGAGTAAGCTGTAGTCCAGCCAGGTCTGTGTACTCAGGGTTCCTTGAACAATTCTGCCTTCTTTCCTTTGCATCGATTTCCATCCTTGGAGTGCTCTTACTACTTTTTCTTTCTAATATATACTTTAAAGTTTGACGAAAATGTTAGCTACTCTGTGGAATTCCTCCTAACCATACCATTCTTATTTTGAATTCCTATCACATTAACTACTTGTAGTAATATTCACTTCATGCATGTTATAGAAATTGACAGAATCTTAGGAGAGGCATGAATTTTATAGGTCATTCACTCTGACTTCTCATGATAAATATATTTTATATTTATGGTCATCTACCCTCAAATGAAATATTAAAGAGGTGAAAGTTTACTAATTTTTGCCCATCCTGCTTATATACAATCTTATGATTAGTATGTTCTTTCTTAGTTTGAAACAAAATCTGCCTTCCTAGGATTTATATCATTTAGTACTAGTTTTTCCAGAGTTTCAGAGGAAAAAAATATTGATGCTCTTATATATGATAGATTTTTCTTTGAGAATGGCTGTTGTTCCACTCCTAAAATCCTTGCTTTTCAAGTGGAAACATCCTTGGTTTCTCAAACTGTTTATCAGATAACATCTCATCCCCCAAGAACATTCACTAGTTCCTATTTGGATAGATTCTGGCTTTATTTCCCCTCCTCCTCCCCTTTCCCCTCCCCCTCCCCCTCCTCCTCCCCTCCTCCTCTCCCTCCCCTTTCTCCTCCTCCCCCTCCTCCTCCCCATGCCCCCCTCCTTCTTCTTCTTCTTCCTTTCCTCTTCCTTCTTCTTCTTCTTCTCCTTTCTCCCTCTTCTTCCTGCTCCTCTTCTTCTCCTCTTCCTCCTCCCTCTTCCTCTTCTTCTTCTCCACTATGCTATATATATATATATATATATATATGCTTCTTTGAGAAAAGAATCCTACCACCACAAACTCTGGCTGGATGACCTGACCTGGAGTCCATAACACATTGACAGAAGCTGCAGACACTGAAGCTTTCTCTTTGGTTTTCAGGATCTCCAACAGAAATTTCCTGTTAACATACTAGTGGAATGCACCCCTCTTGTATTCTTGCTCATGATTATTTGTCTAGAGGTGTTGTATCATTCAGTGCATAGTACCGTTTTCATCCAGCTGTTTATACCACTTTCAAGTCCTGACCAACTTCTTCCCTAACTGCTCCTATCTCTGGCCTAGTGACCCAATATTGTGACAAGTTTTAACTTTCTCAACTTCTACCCTCTCACCTGTGGTATGTCTCTATGACTCCCTAAGGAGTCCTGAGGTCTACCATATTCCAAATATGAGCTGATCTGTGGGTGAGAATATAAATTTTATAGTGGAACTTAATTTACATTTGACAGAGGGTGTCTGTATCAATTAATACCACCCAAGATTATGTAGTCAGAAAGAATAAACAATGAATCATCTCTACCATGGGAACAGGAAAAAAGGTTGTTTCAAGAGTACCCTCCTTGGTAGTACTGACCTTGAAATAAACTGAAATTCCCAGCTGTTCATCATATAAACATCAGTTGAGTAATGTTTTTGTGTAACTCAGTCTTTGGGCCCAAGTACAAGACTTCATATCTGCCTCAGTTGAATTTGTTAGTTTATATCTGTTGTTTGAACTATCTTTGAAATTTGACTCTGTTCTCCAGCATATTAATCATCACTCCTCGCTCTACATCAATGACAGAATTGAAAAGATATTTTCTATTTATTCAATTCAGTGATTACAATGCTGAAATATCATGTTCCTGTGAGAGCACTACAGAAACAACACCTACAGAAAACAATAAAAATAAAAACAATAAAAGCAAATGCATTATTGAGTGCTTTCTTCAAGCTGGGACTTCTTATTGTTAAATGGATTTTCTCACGTTTATCTTTGTGATAAATCTGTAAATTAAATGCTATTTTTAGCAACTGCTATTATCTGTATTTTACAGATGAACAAACTTTGGCACAGAGGTTTAACTAGCGTGGGTAATAAACATCATCACTGCCCAGGAAATGAAAATTTTTTCAATATCTTAGAATTGCAATGTATCAGAGCTGGGAAGATCACTCATTCTTGGCTCTGTTTTATACAGTTGTATTTCCCCCCCATTTCTACATGAAGTGTTTTCCCCCTTATAGAGCAGTTGGAAGCAAGATGGAAATAATTATGTATCTCCCATCTAATAATATTATGCGCTACATGCCCTGATTCTTGGGGTTATCACTTCCTGGTTTTCCTTCTTCAAACATGGCTACAAAACCTCTTTCCTCTCTTTTTAGCGTTTTTCCATGGATCAGTTGATTCTGGGGCTGTAACTTGGCTGATATTATGCTGAGATCTTAATTATTCATTTGTGTTCCCACCCATATTTTAAAGATGTTCATAAAATTCAAGCTTATGGGAGGCTTCTTGAGCATCGATTTTGGTCTTTGCAATACCTGTCATCTTTTCCCTCCTCTCTTTCAAAAGTGATCTGAGATCATGGAGTGGAAATTTCACTTTTAAAACTTCATGTGTCTTTTGATCAACAATTCTTTAAGGAAATGTGTTTCACTCTCTTGTGAATTCTTTGGAAACTTCTTTGACAATGTCTAAGTTATGCAGCTCTGACTTGGCCCCTTTCTTCTCTCATTAAAAACTATAGGTAACTTTTTCATCTTCCCAACTTCTTCAGATTTTTGAATCTGCAACTGCATTCTTCCATCATTAATGTAAATATCAAAAAGAAAAAATCCTTATTTTTTTCTTCTACATTTAGAAAAGTGAAAGGTGACTTATGTGGTATTTTAGCACAATAACCATTTTAATAATGATTTCAGAAATTTCTAATTTAACATATTGCCAATGTTTTTAGTCTTCTTACTGACTGCTTTTCATTCTACCTTTTATCAAACAGTTTAAATGCTGTGGTTTGGTAAATGGAGCTGCAGATTGGGGAAATAATTTTCAACAATATCCCAAATTATGTGAATGTCAAGATGTACAGGAACTGTGCACCAATTATAATGGGAAACGTGTTTACAAAGAGGTGAGAACTAAATCACATTTGGTACAATAAGTAATTTTGTTACTTCATTTTCACAATGGAAATCTCTACAAAAAATTTAAATTCATCAAGTACAATGGAAATCATGATATAAAAATCTCAGGAATTTCTCAAATTAAAAAAAAAATCCTTATTTAAAGATCAAAGCAGGTAGACTTCATTTCTTCTATGAGTCTGGCATCATTTAAGCCCAACCTTAATAGGTCAAAGAAACATTCTACAATGTTTGCCCTCATGGAGCCAATGCTCAACTAAGAAAGAGAGAAAGATAATTAGGCAACTTTCATCCAATGGTCTACTGGTATCTTTTGGATAGGGATTGGCGCAAGCTGTTATGAAGCCCCATCTAACTTAGTCTGTGAGGTTCAGGGTATGGCTTCATGCGGAACATGACATCTGTCCCTTCGTAAGCTGTTCCTTCAGCTTAGAAGAAATGTGTACAAAAATCACAGTTGATATGCGTGTTTCATTTATTTGCTGTTATTCTTCAGTGCCTACTACATGTCAGACAGACCCTTGCTAGGATCAGAAATGCTTCTGGCTCCTCTAGGAGATTAAAATCTAGCTGAGAGGCAGATACATGAAAAACCATTGTAAATCACAAGGAATTAATATTAATATCTATAATAACTGAAGATTATTTTTAATCTAGAATTGTTTTGGTTTAGCAAGTGATACTGAGATTAATTTATAAAAGGAAATAGAGAGTATCTCAGAGGAAACTTCGCTCTCCCTACTGATTTTTTTGCTGATCTAATCAAAATTAAAGAGGCTCTGCCCTGAAGGGGAATTGCTGTCATTAATACTTAATGTATGTGGCTAATATTTAAAGCAACTCAAGAAGCAATCTACCAGACTACAGTGCTACTGTGTTTTTCATTGTCCAAGTAATATTACTAAAAAAGTTTATATTCTCCCTGCTCCCCTCCTCCCCACCTAATGTTAGTGACACAATATTTACCAGGAAAAGGGGAAATAAATATGGTGTAAATGAACATAGTTTCCACTTAGGATAATGAGGAGATCAGTAAATTCAATTGCAGATTGCTATTTGTCTCCTGTTTAAATTCAACTCAAAGATATTTTTCCTCAAGACAGATTCTGAAAAGCCCCTGGAATTATGCTAAAAAAACCCTACTAGATATTTTCTGTAGGTTCACACATAATTCAGCTGAATATAGGCTAATAGCTACACCAGCTTCCTAAAAGGAAGGTTGTAAATTCATAAAATGCTCCCATCTGCCGTGTGTCATTTGCAAGAAATCTGGTAAAATAAGAAATCTGGAATGGCCATAATTCACATTTCTTTTTCTTCTCTTCCTTTTGCCAAGATAACCTCATTATCCTAGGGAAGAGGAAGGGAAAAATCCCTGAAACATAATGAATGTACTTACTACATATAATCATTAACCTCATTGTTAACCCTAAATGACATAATGATTTCCTTGAATGTTTACCACTTTGGATTCCATGTGAATGGAGAAACTCATTAGATTCAGAAAAGAAGAGGAAAGATCATTTAGCTTTTTGGAAGACTTTTATTTTATTTAAAAAATAGTAATGTTTTGTTAGCCCTTTGCACATATATGACCATCAGAGGGACAATATATTTTAGGGCAGTACAAAAATAACACTATCATATTGTATAGTCTTTTTTCATTTAAAAAATTCTTCCCATAATTTACAATTCTTGACGTTATTAGGTCTAGTCCAAAATGTTTTAAGCATGAAAATGCATGCTGGATTGAATACATTTCAAAAACGTAACAGAGAGTCAACTTCCTAAATCCTCTTTTTTTTAATCTAAAAATGGCATAATGGTAGACATGGTAATTTTTTTTTTTTTGAGATAAAAATAACACTGATAAATATTGAGGGATTTTGAAAGTATCTTGTTTTGTCTAGCAATGGTGACCTCACACCTGGTATCCTAGCACTCTCAGAGGCTGAAGCAGGTGGATTGCTTGAGCCCAGGAGTTCAAGATAAGCCTGGGCAACATGGCAAAATCCCGTCTCTATGAAACACAACAAAAATTAGCCAAGCATGGTGGCACATGCTTACAGTTCACCTACCTGGGAGGCTAAGGTGGGAGGATCACTGGAGCCCAGGAAGTCAAGGCTGCAGTGACCCAAGATTGCACCTCTGCACTTCAGCTTGGGGGCTGGAGGGAGACCCTGTCTCAAAGAAAAAAAAAGAAAGAAAATACCTTGTTTTAAAAATAAAAATTTGTAATATTAATAGCTAAAACCTCAACCAGGAACCTCTCTGTTGTAGATTACAAACCTAAAATATCCATAATCAAGGTGGTATCAGTTCTAAAATGAGTAAAGTTAAGAAAAAATTATTTATTAACATTTTATTTATAACATTTTATGTTATAAATTAACATTTTATTTATTTATAATTATAACATTTTATGTTGTAAAATGTATAGCTTTATTGACTATAAAATTTATAGTATAAATTATAAAATCTATCACTTGAGGATATGTTCATGAAAAATCATTATTTAAAATTATTAATCCCTAGAATCAACAATTAGGCAGTCAAGCAAAATTTTGTTCCTCAAATGCTTTTTAATGTATAAACAAACCACAACAGTTATAACCTTTTGAAGCAAAAGTGAAGCAGGGAGTGAAAGGAATGACCCAGTTCCTTATTGTTGAGTATGCTTCTTGATAGCAATGTAAAAAGTCAACCAGATGAATAAAAATTTTGATTAATATAAGGTCAAATTTTTCTGAGAGGTAACTTTTTATGTTTTGTTTTTTAACAGCCCTGTATTTCTTTCATAAAAAACCTATTGGCAAAAAATGTGATTATAGTTATTGGAATAGCATTTGGACTGGCAGTTGTTGAGGTACAGTATAATCTTGTATTACTGACTCTTCATTTATTCCCTTGCTTGTTCATTAATTCTAACAAATATTGATGGTGAACAAATAAACAACAAAAGACACAACAACCATAAAAAAAAACCCAGATGCTTTAGAAAAGCACTGGGTAATAAAGGCCCACCATCTACCTCATTTAGCTGGAGTCTGAGGGGGAGATTACAGTCTTATGAACTGTGAGCATGGCTGAGACTCTTGCTTCTGAATGACCTCTCTATTGAGAAAAAGAGTTAATTTTCACATACTTCTTAGTGACACGTATCCTTTTCTCATTGAAAACTAGCACAGGGGTTAAAAGTTTCCTAATTTAGAAGAAAAAGTACCAAAGAAAGCAAAATTTGACCATTACATTTTCTTATTCTGATTTTGAAACAGAAAATAAAAACTCAATTAAGAGTGTGAGGAGCTATTTCCTTGTAACGTACTGTATTTTAGCGAAATCTAACAAGTCCTAAATAGTAGAGGCAATTGCCTCTGATTTCCTCTGCTTAAGTACTATTTACTATTGACTCACTTGAACAAATTTTCAAGGAAAATTGAGGCTTATGTCTTACTTTCATGACTTTAATTATTGATGTTGAAAAAATATCCTGCATAGGATTTTTATCTTAATGAACTTTCTTCAAAAAAAAAAAAACAAAAAACAAAAAAACCCTGAAAGACACTTTTCACATGGCCTAAAAATCTTTGCCAAGAACATGAATTAAAACTGCTTCAGAGAAGCATTTTGGAATCATCCCAAATCTTGGGTATTTTGATATCCAGTGGATTAATATCACTCACCATCCTATTCCAAGGCATTAGCAATAGTTTTAATAATATGAGGTATCTCCCGGGTTAATGCCTGTGAGAGCTGGTTAGCTCAGCTGAGTGACTTGTGCTTCACCCTCATGGAACCCTGCACAAGATACTCCTTGGGCTTTCTGGTAGCTTTCTTCCTCTTACTCATGCCACATCACTGCTAGAAAGAAATTTTAACTGGGAATGAAGCAATTTAGTGTTCTAAGTGGTTCTTTAGAGTGCTGGTGGAATTTCCCAGGCAACTATTAGAGAAAGGTTAGGGACTATTTACAGCAACTTGAACTGTGGAGTATTACTTTCATATAGTCCAGATGAATAGGTCTAAATATGAAGCATTCTTTGTTGGTAGGTTATGGCCATCTTTCTTTAGATCTGATATACATTGAAAGTTAAATGGCGCTATGGATTAGGTCTATTTCTCTTGATTCTGCATTTTGTAAGATGTCTTTTGTTTCTCTGCTTTGTATTCTGGGTTTATACTAATTTATAAATAGGACTAATGGCCATGAAAATGAGTAATAAATCATGTATATATATGTATTTACACACACACACACATGCATACATGTAATACATAAAGCACATCTTTATAAAGTTTAAGTGAGATATTTAATATAAGAGTTATATTTCATGTTAGACCCAAGTTCTGACAATTGACTATCTCTAGCTCAAATCACAGATGCTCCTCAATTAGCAAAACCAGAAAAAGTAAGGACATACTTGATTGAGGAGACTAAAGAAATCTTTTGTGTCAGAGTCAAAGGCATTTTCAAGAATTGAAATACATCTAGTGGAAAATAAGATTATAGAAAGATTAATGCATTTTAGTATTTTATGAAATTGGTATATTCCATGTATTAATTACATGTTTAAATATTTTATTGGCTCTTCTAAAGACATATTCAGAGAAATTGCTTAATAAAAACATTCTATACAGTAATTTGTAGGTATGGAGTTTTTGTGGTGCTATCATAAAATATAACTGGCTTTTTAATTAGACCAGTCAAATTTGATGTGATTTCTAGACCATATGCAGATACGGTAAATAGTTGGTTCAAATAACTGTTTGAACTTTTAAAAATTGTCACACAGTTCCTCAATCTAAAACCTTCCTCCCTCTAAGGTTTGAAGGGAAACAAATCATTTTATATTCCATCTTTTTTATTCAAAAAGGAGATTCAAAAAGTCTTCTGATACCCAGTCTATAAATTATGTATCCAAAAAATGCACTTTATAGTCCATCTCACAATCATTAGTAGAAGTTGCCTACTGCCCTATGACTTAGGCCTCTTTTCTCTGTTTCCAAAGTTCAAATTAAAAAAAACACAGAGATACAGAGATAGAAAATCTCTTCTAAAAAATACTTTTGAGGAAACAGAAGCAAATATCTTCCTGCAGAAAATAGGTTCAGATCATCTCCACGGAAAAGTGTCATATGAAAAAAGATTCTCCCACATTTAGACCTTCAGCATTAGTATGTTTAGGCATAGGTTTTAGTGAGGTGGGCCAATATTTGTTTCAAGGGTCTATTAAGACTCTATACCTAAGGGATTCTTGTCACATTGGATGCTAAAAATTATGCAAAATACCTTATTCTGCAAGGAAAATTTATCTATAGACATTTTTGCAATTCTCATTATTCTAGCTTAAAACAAGACTATTACATCTCTCCTTATTTGACTGTAGCAACTTACAAGCACAAAAAATGATCAGCACTTTCCTCGCTTTAATTTAAAAAAAAAAGGCTATACACTGAGAGTCATCACTTTGTAGGATAACAGTTATCCTGACAAGAGGTCCTAGAAATAAACCAGTTAAAACAAAAATGATAATTTTATAATTTTTTTAGACTGCTGCATACCTCTTAGCAAATTTATTATGAGTCTTGGCATACATTATAAAATGACAAATCTCTTTTAATTATGTGCTATTTTTCTGAAAAATGATAAATGTTCTTTTCACAGACAATGAAATGCAAGAAAGTGATATTAACTGTCTAGTCTGCTGATAAATGGTGGGCTTCTATTTCAAGGATGTAGCAGTGAAAGTTGTCTTATTTCATTATTTTTCCCATTAAAAAAAGTTCTTTCTTGATACTTGTCCCACAGACTTAAGGCTCAGGATCAAGGCAAAAAGACTAAATTTCGGTCTTGAATTGTAGAACATTTTGAATGGAAATTATTGCTTTTGCAGAGAATCATTGTCAACCTTTTTAAGAAGAAAGAAGTATTGGTTAGCTGTTCTCATTTGAATTATATTTCCAGGAAAGTGTTAGTAAGCACAAAGTCTAAACACAGTAGAAGCATTTGAGTTGACTCAGCATAAATGGCACTTTGCCCCCTCCATCCTCCCTTCAAAGGGGGCTGGTGAGGGAGGAAAGTTTCTATTGGTAATGCACACAGGTCCTATCTGTCATTTCTACGTCAAAGACATAGCGTGCGAGTCACCAACTGTACAGCCAATTAGAGCAAATTTTGAGGTCTCTCATTCTTGGGAGAGCTACTTAATGAGGTGGAAATTATGCCCCAGATTTTCAGCTGTGCTTTTTCACTTCAAAGGAAATTCCTGATTTAAGCTATTCCCCGTAGTTTAGAAGCTTTTTGAAAAAAAGTTACTTCATTTTTTTATTCCTCTTGGAAATGCCTAAAACTACAGCAAGAGAAATTCTAGACTCCTTGATTTTTATGTAGTTGATTTAAAACAGATGATCACAACCTTTTTATGGAAGCAGTACATATATTTAGCCCCCAGGGATCTGAGATCCCCGGTGCTCTTAGGAGACACTCTGCAGAAGAATATGTGTGTTCCCGAAAAGGGAGTGGGTCCTCTGGTGTCAGCTGCTATTGTGCAGTTCTATATGGCCAGTTAACTAGAGGCCAGCTAAAAAATGGTGATTAAAACACACAAAAAAACTCGGAGAGCTTTTGCAATGCTCTTTTGTCCCATGGAACCTCTAATTTCCCAAGAAAGATGACTTAGATAAGATTGGAACTGTCAGTATACAGAATCTTTTCAAATATAATGTTCTCTGTGTTTATTTATAATTTGTCCAGTGTTCCCCTTAAATTCCATGTTAATCCTGTTATTTTATTCTCTAGATACTTGGTTTGGTGTTTTCTATGGTCCTGTATTGCCAGATTGGGAGCAAATGAATCTGTGGAAGTGTCAAGCTATCGTCAGTCAAACCCCTTTAACATTTTGTTTTGGCTTTGTAACTTTAAATATATAAGTGCTATGTACATCAGGATCAGCTGTATTTTTAAAATGTCTCAGCAAGCTAGACCACGATATCTTCTAGACATATTGAACATATTTACAGTTTGAGGGACATGAGGGAAATGACATGAATGTGTATTTTTACTCAAAATAAAAGTAACTGTTTACATTGGTGCTTTTCTGTGTCTGATCATTGTGTTCAGGTGGTACTGTGCTTAAAATGTTCTTCTGGAGCCACCCAGTGGAATAATCATCTCTAAGTTGACAGGGCCATAGATAGTTAAGACAGTGGATCTGGGGTTTTTCAGAAACAACACTCTTTTGTGTGAAGTATCAATCATTGGTGATACCATTGAATCAAGTCTGATGATAAAATAATTGACAATGATCCAGGTAAAAGTGTCACCATCTTGTTTCTATTTATGTCAGAACTACTAATAGTATCTCTTTTGCTGTGTATCTGTTGTGGGAACAAATAGGTCTGAGCCTATAACATTCTTTTGCATATCATTTGGAAGATATATGTACTCATTTCTGGCTGTATATGCAGGAGTGGAACTGCTTTGTATGTATATGTTTAGCTTTAATAGATTGGTGTCAAGAAATTTTATAAAGGGCTTGTCCTAATTTATGCTCATACTAGAAAAGTATAATAGACTCAGTCTCATCTTCTGAGAAGGAGAAACATTAAGGTAGGCAGCTCTTGTCAAGTAGATTAGAGTGGCTGCCAAGGAGCCAGGCATGATGGCTCGTGCCTATAATCCCAGCCCTTTGAGAGGCCAAGGCCAGTGGATCATGAAGTCAGGAGATCAAGACCATCCTGGCTAACATGACGAAACCCCATCTCTTCTGAAAATACAAAAATCATCTTGTTGTGATGGTGCATGCCTGTAATCCCAGCTACTTGGGAGGCTAAGGTACAGGAATTGCTTGAACCCAGGGGGCAGAAGTTGTAGTGAGCCAAGATCACACTGCTGCACTCCAGTCTAGTGAGAGAGTGAGACTCCGTCTCAAAAAAAAAAAAAAAAAAAAAAAGAGAATGGCTGCCAGGCAGTAGGAAACTTGGGAGACCTTTGGGTTGGGTTAGGCACCCTTAGTCTGTGCTTCCCTGTTAATGATAAAAACAGCTCTCCTTCTTTGAATACATGTCATCTTCCAGGAACAATACCCAAACCTTTGCTTTTATTATCTCATTTCTAATCACTATATCCTTATTGAGGTGGGTACTCTTATCATTCCCATTTCACAGGTGAGAACATTGAGGCTCAAAAGAGATGGATAACCTGCTTAGAGTCAATTAGTAATTGGCAGAGCCAGGAATCAGACCCTGTCAAATGTGTCCCAAACCCTCACTGTTAATCATGTTAGCTTTCTCATAATAAATCTATCAATAAACTTGGCATATTTTATTATAATTACCTTTTCATGTGTTTGCCTCTGTTAGCATCGTCGAACTCTTTGAAGGCATTGATTGTTTTTTATTTGTCTTTATATCTCCAGTATCTATTGCTGTGCTTGGCATATAATAGGCATAAATTGTAGTTAAAAATGCAGAGCTTATAGCTTGCAGTGAATGCCAAGAACAAAGTATTCAGACAGATCCAGCTGAGCAGGGCTATGGAGTAGCTCTTCTGAGAGAGTCTGTCCCAGCATCCATCCACCAAATATTTATTGAAAGGGATTGTATTAACTACAAACATCCACTATGGTCATTTGAGGTGGGTTACTGAGGCACCTGTGACCTTGTACACACTCAAACTGCATCCTCAGGAGGCTGTTTTCAGCGTTCCTTATCACACCAACCACTCCACTCCCTGTCCTGTTTTCAAGGTCAAGAAGTTTCATTCCCATGCACAAATAACATACACAGTGCCTCAGTAATTTTCCATACCCCAACCTCAAATGTCATGTACATAAGCTTAAATATGTTGTTCTGCACCCCCTACATCTCCGCCTTCTTTAATTCTTAAAGCATGCTGGTCAACCAATGCAAAGTTAGCTTCTTCCCTGGTTGTAGATGCGTCGTTGGGTGGCAGTACAGAACCATCTGCAAATGCCTAACAAACAGATACAAGAAATAATAAGTATAGCGGCCATCACCCAAATGCATATGTTTAACCCAGATAACCAAGTATTGGGGTTTAACCATTGAAAGCCTTCATTGTAATTTGTGAAGGGTGCTTGTTTGTAATTGCTGTGACCATTCTTCAAGTTGTTTCTTTTTTTATAATCATGACAAACTGAATGCAAACTATACACCCATCAACAGAATAATGGAAACACTTTGTGATATATTCATACACAATGAAATATCCCATAGCAATGAAAATAAACTACAGCTACATGCAACACATAGATGGATCTCACACACAAGATGTTGAGCAAAAGAAGCCAGAGTGCACACTTCATTATTCCACTTAGAGAAGGTTCACGAGCAGGCAAAATGAGTCTGAAGAAGTCAGAAGACTGGTTACCTTTAGGGACGTATTGGCAGAGAGGGGCAGTATACTGGCAAATGTTTACCAACCAGTTCTCCAAAAAAGAAAAAGCCCTGAATCCTGAATTTACAGCATTCATCAGTTTCTAATAGCATAAATACTCCCAGCATGGTAGATTTCAAGCTACCAATGTGATGTTACTGAACACGAAGCTGGGAAGCGACGTATATGTGTGCAATGTGCTCAGCAAGTTGGTGTGAGCCAAATACAGCACACAACTGAGGGGCGGCATGAAGGAGAATTCTGGTGTGCTGGAAATGTTCTTTATTTTTTCTTCTTTTTTGGAGATGGGGGTCTTGCTTTGTTGTTCAGGCTGGTCTCGAACTTCTGGGGTCAAAAGACCCTTCTGCTCAGCTTCCCAAGTAGCTGAGCTTACAGGCATGAATCACTGTGCCCAACTCTGATCTTAGTGCTTACATAGATGTACACATATTCCCAGAGCTATATATTAGGAATTATTGACTATATTGTCTGTATATTATACTTCTATAATATTGCTTACTGGTAGGAAAAGAGTAGCAGGATCATTCCTGACAACTGGATGCAATGCCGGTGTCCCTTTATGATAACAGAAGCTATTAAATCTGTGGTCTTTTGTATATGTTTAGAGAGATTATGAGATAGGTAAATAGCACATAAGATACAGAAATGGCAAAAGATAAAGCTTACCTGTTAAACTAACGCATGGAAGGGATAAATATTTTAAGTGATTTTTACCATATGTTTTGGCCTTTGAAAGTTTTAAAAATGTGACAGCAAGTCACCAGGATAATAAACCTGCATTGAGTTAGCTTAAATGTGTTTAAAAGAAAAAGAAAACAAAAAAACTTTTAAAAATGTCTTCAGGTGTTGGCCATTTTCTTCCATTAGCCTTTAACTGGATTGTCTTAGAAGTGAGCTTGCCAAAGCAGGGCTGTAGCTGGGTTCTTCCTATATGCTCTGGGCTCCTTAGACAGCCTCTCTTTCTAACAGCTTGCCACCTGTTGCTACTCTTGCCCTGAGGGGAAGGAAGGAAGACTACACGTGGCAGTAAGAGGCTAGAGAATGACCAGGTGGGAAAGTGCGTGTTTAAGCACAGAGGCAGGAGGCAAGAGGGTAACAGGCTGGAAGAAAACCTCTCCCCTCATCCTCCAGGCCACCTACGCTTGGAGCCAGCCCTGTTAGGTAAGGTACTGAAAATATACTGAGCTTTTTATTATTTTTACTATCCTCAATCAGAGAGGCCCAGGGGAGAAGCATATATGCAGCACAGAGTCTGCTTTGAAGTTTCCTAGCCTCAGTGTTTTTAAACATTTTATAAAAAAGAGAAACAAACATTCCTTATTGCTGCGTCTATCTCCTGAAGATGACAGCAGCTGGCAGGGCTCCTCCACCTCAGCCCAGTATTTGTCATTTGGCTACCGGAGAGCACCCCTTATTAGCGGGCTCCTCCCCCAGTGCTCTGTACTCTAGGCTGCTCCACACTCCTCTGCCTACCTTAGACTAATAAGGTTGGGTGCACAGGGACTGTGTCTTAGCCCTTTCCCTAAGGAAGACAAGGAATTACTTGTCAGCTGAGACATGCAACAATGGCAAGGAAGAGCAGAAGTAGGAAAAGCAGCAGCACAGCAAGCAACAGGCCACTTTCTGAGCACAGTTACTAAGGCACATGACCATGGTGAGAAGGATCCTTAGACCCAGCTGGAACTGCCTGCAGCCACCCAGGGACTCGGTCTGTGCCTCTTGGTTTCTCCTCCATCACCACAAACCCAGATAGGGGCAACTGCCCAGACTGCCAGTGACCAAATGGGCACTCCATGACATTTTAGCAACTCTCCTGCTCCAGTCCTCTGTGGGCAGCAAGAAAGCCAGAGCTTTCTAGGCTAAAACCAGGAGGCAGGATGCAACTTTCCCTTATGGCCCAGGGAAACAGAAAAATAGACAAGGCCAGAAAGGCTGATGCTGGAAGTAGGAAATGAGAACTTGCATGTTAGGAAAGCAATCATAATCAGCCACTTGCCTTCCCTCCTGGAGGTGCTCCTCCAGCTGGGAAGTTTGTCAAGGAGATGTGGCCACCTGATCATATAGATGTTCACCGACTAGGGCGTTTTATCCAAGAATCATCTCTTGGGCAGCCTCTAATATCCTCAAAGGGAATGGAAGACACTGTTGCCTGAGCAGGGCCAATGAATGCAGATCCCTTTAAGGGTGGATGAAAAGAGGGCAATAGCTTTTCTACAGGGAGAGCAAAAGGCTCCAGTCCGTCCTTATCCTCACTAGAAAAAATATTTTCCTTATTCCCCATAGAAGCAAATGAAGCAGGGAGAGAAGTCTCTCTCTCTTGTTCTGGTTTCTGCTTTTCCTTCTCCTTTAAATCTCCTGAATTCCCTTCAGGTGGAGAAGATGGGCAGTTTGACTCACCACAATCTGGCAGATAAAGAGGATACAACGCACAGTGTGCCAGCGCCCAGGTAGTCAAAATAGTAACATTAGTAAAATGGCCTTTCTTATATCCTCTTTTCAGACAGCAATCTACCTGCTCCCATAACTCTAAATCTAAGGTTCTTTGATCAGGAAACCAAGGGCATTCCTGCCGGATTAAAAACATAAGCTTGTATAGGGCTCCAGGCTCTACAGTGCACTGGATAGACTTAAGTAGCTGTTGCACTGTTTTAAAAAATACTTTCTGCTCTTCGATGATTTTTTGACCCATGGCAACCTAACCCCTGATATTTTATGCATGCATCCTATCCTTCTGGTGGGAGTCAGGACTGTCCCTTACCGGGATTCCACGAAAACTGATGAGCTCTTCGCCTTCATCCATAAATTCAAGGCGATCACACCAGGGGCACCAGTTACAGAGCTTATAGCTTGCAGTGAACACCAAGAATGAAGTAGTCAGACAATTCCAGCTGAGCAGGGATAGGGAGTAGGTCTTCTGAGAGAGTCCACCCCAGCATCCGTCTGCCAAGTATTTATTGAAAGGGATTGTATTAACTACAAACATCCACTGGATGTTCATTTGAGGTGGGTTACTGAGGCACCTGTGACCTTGTATGCACTCAAAGTGCACTCTCAGGACACTGATTTCAGCGTTCTTTATCACACCACCCACTCCACTCCCTGTCCTGTTTTCAGGGTCAAGGAGTTTCATTCCCATGCACAAATAACATACACACAGTGCCTCAGTAATTTTCCATACCCCAACCCAGATGCCATGTACATAAGTTTGAATTTGTTGTCTTGCACCCCCCTACAAAAAATAAAAGACTGAGCACTTACTACATTCTAAGCACTTTACGTAAAGTAACTTACTTAATTCAGAACAACCCTCTTCGTCTGATACTATTACTAGACCAATCTACAGATAACGAAAGCAGGGCCTAAAAAGATTAACTTTTCTTAGGTTATGCAGCTAGTAAGTGGACTAGTTATGATTCAGTCTAAGTGACTTAAAATCTGTGCTCCTTATGTCATACCATTTTGTCATTGTTACAGTGTTATTGGGATAGATAAGAAAATGAATATTAACATGTCTTTTGCATAATGTCCGGTACATTACAGGCTCTATAAATATTATATGGTAGCAATGATATAAAGAACTTGTATCAGTCAGGGTTGACAGAAAAATGAAAACCTCCAGCTATTTCAAACAAAGAAAAAATTATACAGGGATCTCCTGTATTAGCTTGGGCTCCCATAACAAAATACAGCTGACTGAGTAGCTTAAACAACAGCATTTTTTTTTCTCTCAGATTTCTGGAGTTTGCAAAGTCAAGGATCAAGGTGCCATCCTATCATTTCCTGGTAAGGGCTCTCTTCCTGGCTTGCAGTTGAACAACATCTTACTGTGTCTTTACAAGGTAAGAAGAGAGAGAGAGAGAGTGCACTCTGTTGTGTCTTCTTATAAAGACAATAATCCTATCAGTTCATGATTCCACCCTTATAAACTTATTTAACATTAATTACTTTATTACTCCAAATACAGCCACAATGGTGGCTTCAACATACAAATTTTAGTGGGGGAAAATTAAATCCATAGTCACTGCTTTCAGAGGGGATGGAATGTAATAAGCCAATTGGGAGGCAAGGTAAAGTGGAGATTAGCAACGGTAGGAGTTGCTACTACCCTTAGGACTGGGGGGACAGAGATAATGTTACCAGATCCCAGGATCCAGGGCCACCTTGTGGAAGATGCTCCATGACTTGGATTCCAGAGAAAGACTAACAGGAACAGGAGCCATGGAGACTTAGCACTCATTCTCAGAAGAAGAGAGACAAGTGCCCTGGCTTCTCTCCTGCCCACTGCAGTCTTCTGTCAGATTTCCATTGGCTGAACCCTCCTAGAAGCCACAAAGCAAGAGGGCCTAGAAAATTTGGTTTCCTCTGATCCTAAGCAGAGCTGGGAATGGCAAGGACTGGGCTGAGAGCAGAGAGAAAGGACTGTTAGACTAAGTTTAGCCCAAAGATGCCTCCTTAGATAGTCTAAGTTTTACCTAAAGGTTTCTCTGTGAACATTGAACTGTAACCTAACTGGGTGTGTAAACTGAGTGTAACCTACTCTTGTGCCAATCACTCAGTTTTAGCCAATCAAAGGCAGCCAATTATTCAAACTCGGTTCAAATAAGGCCAACAGAGAACTGTAAGCAATCCAGCTGTTTCTGTAACTTACTTCTGTTTTCTGTACATTGCTTCCCTTTGTGTACATAAATCTTCCACCACCTGACTGTGCTGGAGCCTCTCTGACTCCAGTGAATTATTCTTTCCTCAGTTAAACTCTGTTAAATTTAATTTGTCAGTGATTTTTCTTTTACCAAGACTGTCATAGCAAATGGAGAGCCAGAAAGCAGGCACACAGATCCTGAACTTTTTGAGAAAAGGATATGAAAATTGCAGATAGTGTAGCTGAGATTTAGAATTATATGAGAAGTTTTTGGGATGCTTCCTATTTGAGCTCAAGTTCACAGCATTTTAGGGACCTACAGGACTTAGAGCAGTTGTTTCTTTACTGGAGGGGGGCATTTTGCCCATTGGGATATTTGTCAATGTTTGGCGACATTTTGATTGCTACAATGGGTAGCAGGGGGATGTTACTAGTAGCTAGTAGGCAGAAGCCAGGAATGCTGCTAAACCTTCTACAATGCACAGGTACATGCCCACAACAAGGAATTATTTAGTCTAAAATGTCAATACTGCTGAGATGGAGAGATCCTGCTTAGGGAATCACACATATGAATAAAAGAATGTCCTTGTTAGGAGACAGTAAAGTCCGTGTTAAAAGATGAATTGGATTGGAGTCAGTCCAAGATCAGGCTCTAACTGCTTGCTGCTTGTGTATCCTTTGCAAGTCACTCAGTTTCCTCATCTTCAAATGATACATTTTATCGAAAAGGCATTTAAGTTCCCTACCATTACCAGAATCTCTGCATGTACTAACTTCTTAAATGTGTGTAGTTTTCTGCTGTAGGTATTTTTAAATGTCAACATTTATTTGCTTATGATAGTTCACCTAGGCTTTAACTTAATGTTTTTGTACTGAAGGCAATTATGAGAGAAACTTTTACTCTACTGAAGGATATTAAATTCAGATTTAAGTATAGACTTATTCTTTACCTTCATGTTTCCAAGGTCAAACCACAATATTTAAAATATATTAAATTTGATTAAATTACTTAAACATAGCAAGAACAAAATATAAGTAAACTCTCATCAAATAAATAATTCAATGTAGATGGAAATGCTTTCATTTTACAGAAATATAAGGATTATCTTCATTATGCTTAAGACTGTACAATTGTACTAATTTAGATATATAAAAATGTTTATTAAAGCTTAGCAAATGCTTCTCAAATCTATCCATTGCTCTGCTTTTCTGTCACTTCCATCCTATCTCATCCCTCTGAATCCATCCTGAGGTAGGATCATTGCAATGATCTTCTCATGAGTTTTCTACATTTCTTTTTTTCTTCTTCATATCCATTTCCCATCGTGCCACAGGAGTGATCTATCTAAAGCACAGATGTTATCATGTTATATTACTCTCCCTCAAGGTTACTCCTCCAATGACTGCTAGGTCCTTCATAAGTGCCAACTTCACCTTTCCCTGTGATATGGTTTGGCTGTGTCCCCATCCAAATCTCATCTCATTCCACAATTCCTATGTGTCATGGGAGGAACACGGTGGGAAGTAATTGAATTATAGGAGTGAGAGGTGATTTAATTATGGGGTCAGTCTTTCCTGTGCTGTTTTCATGATAGTGAATGAGTCTCATGAGATCTGATGGTTTTAAAAATGGTAGTTTCCCTGCACAAGGTCTCTGTTTTTCCACCACCATCCATGTAATACATGACTTGTTCCTTCTTGCCTTCCACCATGATTGTGAGACCTCTCCAGCCATGTGTAACTGTAAGTTCATTAAACCTATTTTCCCTCCCAGTCTCAGGTATGTCTTTATCAGCAGCATGAAACTGGACCAATACAGTAAATTGATACCAGGAGAGTGGAGCATTGCATACCCAAAAACATGGAAGCAACTTAGGTACTCGGTAATAGGCAGAGGATGAAATAGTTTGGAGGGCTCAGAAGAAGACAGAAAAATGTGGGAAATTTTGAAACTTCCTAGAGATTTGTTAAATGGCTTTGACAAAAATGCTAATAGTGATTAAAATAATAAGGTCCAGGCTGAGGTGGTCTCAGATGGAGATGAGGAAATTGTTGGGAACTGGAACAAAGGTGACTCTTGTTATGTTTTAGCAAAGAGACTGGTGGCATTTTGCCCCTGCCCTAGAGATTTGTGAAACTTTGAATTTGAGAGAAATGATCTAGGGTATCTTAGGGAAGAAATTTCTGAACAGCAAAGCATCTAAGAGGTGACTTGAGTGCTGTTAAAGGCATTCAGTTTTATAACAAAAACAGAGCATAAAAGTTTGGCAAATTTGCAGCCTGACAATGTGATAGAAAATAAAATCCCATTTTCTGAGGAGAAATTTAAGCTGGCTGCATAAATTTGCATAAGTAACAAGGATCTGAATGTTAATCACCAAGACAATGGGAAAATGTCTCCAGGGCATATCAGAGGTCTTCATGGCAGCCCCTCTCATCACAGGCTCAGAGACCTAGGAAATACAAATGGTTTCCTACATCCCAGCCACTCCAGCCATCACTAAAAGGGCCCAAAATACAGCTCAGGTTGTGGCTGCAGAGAGTGCAAGCCCCAAGCCTTGAGAGCTTTCACATGGCTTTAAGCCTGTAAGTGCACAGAGGTCAAGAATTGAGGTTTGGGAGCCTCCAACTAGATTTCAGAGGATATATAGAAACACCTGGATGTCCAGGCAGAATTTTCCTGCAGGGGTGGAGCTCTCATGGAGAACCTCTGCTAGGGTAGTGAGAAAGAAACATATGACCACACAGAGTCCCTACTGGGGCACTGCCTAGCAAAGCTGTGAGGAGAGGGCCACCATCCTCCAGATCCTAGAATGGTAGATTCACTGACAGCTTGTACTATATGCCTGGAAAAGGTGCAGACACTCAACACCACCCCATTAAAGCAGCTGGGAGGGAGGCTGTACCCTGCAAAGCCACAGGGGTGGAGGTGCCCAAGACCATGGGAACCCACATTTTGCATCAGCATGACCCACATGCAAGACATGGAGTCAAAGGAGATCATTTTGGAGCTTTAAGATTTGACTGCCCTGCATGATTTTGGACTTGCATGGGGCCTGTAGTCGTTTGTTTTGGCCAATTTCTCTCTGTTTGGAATGGTTGTATTTACCCAATTCCTGTACCCTCATTGCATCTAGAAAGTAACTAAGTTGCTTTTGATTTTGCAGGCTTGTAGGCAGAAGGCATTTGCCTTGTCTCAGATGAGATGTTGTACTGTGGACTTTTGAGATAATGCTGAAATGAGTTAAGGCTTTGGGAGACTCTTGG